CCTTACACAGGACCATCGGTAAACACATACTTATGAAGTATCAACAAAAATGAATTTAAAGTTTAGCCGTATTAGGAAGGTTGAGAATCACTGCTTTAAAGCAGGTAATATGCAAGTCATGTTTTTTTGTTTTTTTATATTATCTTTAGTGCACAATTTATGTTTCGTTCTGGAGAATAATTCATTCACAGAAATGATCTTCGCCAGCGTTTCCCAAATGTTAAGTTAGGCGGACAAGGCGACAAGTTTCGAAAATGAACCACGGGCAAGTGAAGGATTAATAATTACCATAAATATTTATATTTTGTGGACCGATGGCGTAGGACTGGCGGACAAGCGCCGGTTCGTGGATCACCATTTGGGGGAACACTGGCCCAGACTAAACTAAATAAAAAAGCCAAATTATTCTTCTTTAAGTTTTGCTTATTTCATTGATTAATCAACCTCATTTTAAAGCTATGCTACTTGTGTTCACCATTGTAAAAAAAATGTATTTCTGATATCTGCATTAAAAAAAAAATTATAAAAAAAAACCCTGTAATTGTTAATTGACATATTTTAAAGTTTACACATGTGTAATAGACAAAAATGTTGATCACATTAAATATTGAAGTTGTTATATAAAATACGATGTCATGTAACGCTGGTCGTGTGTTACTGGACCTTTTCTTTCTTTCTTTTAAAAAGAAGCGGTTTGGGGGGGGGGCTAGGTTAATTAAAAAAGGAATGTTGCTCAAATTTGAGATTTATGTTTAGTATTGCCACGTAAAGCTATGTTAAGATGTTATTTACCTTTTCTTTCTTTCTTTTAAAAAGAAGCGGTTTGGGGGGGGGGGGGCTAGGTTAATTAAAAAAGGAATGTTGCTCAAATTTGAGATTTATGTTTAGTATTGCCACGTAAAGCTATGTTAAGATGTTATTTTATTTTTATTGAAACATGCTTCAAATTTTCAGACGCACAAAGAACGGAAACTTAAATTTCCCTTGATATCTTTTTAACTGATGTTAAATGTACATTTTATGTTTCAATGTTTTCACTCGGTTTGAAATTCAAAAGTTTAGCAGACAATGTTTTCAGGGAATATTAAATGAATAACTTAAATGTCTGAAATGTCTTTGAGACATATTGTTTGCCTTTTAAATCTGATCACATAATAATCAAGAAAAAACAAACAAACTGGTAGTGTCCTACTCAGTGAATGTTCTCAAAAAAATAATTAAAAGTGACCTGTCTTAAGATTTCTGTTTAATAACTGTCTACTTATTAGACTTGGTCACATAGAAATAATTTTCTGTTACTGTTGATGTTGTCATCAATGTTCTAATTATGAGAAGCTTTTATTCTCTTAATGTTGACATCATTGGATAAGAAAACAAAAGATTATTTGAAAAAAATCAGGAAATTAATTCCGTATGTCTAAGAGGAATAAAATAGTTCTTGTCTTATTGGTTATATTTCATTTCAGAGACACACACTGTATTTGCAGAAATTAGGCATGGTTTTAGTGATAAGCGATTTGTTCCCATAGTATCTTAGGAAAACTCTTTAAAATAGCATTACAGTCGAACCCACTTATCTCGACCTAATTTAACTAGCCAACCTTGTTATATCGACTTTTTTTGTTTCTTTTTAAGTTGAAACGCCCAATTCTTTCTTTCTTTTGTCTTAGCACTTTCTCCTCGGTTATCTCGATCATCGGTTATCTCGATGATTTTCGGGATACCCCGAGGCCGTCGACATAACCGAGTTCTACTGTATATATATATATATATTTTTTTTTTTTTAAAAAGAGCCAACCTGTTTTATTTAGAGAATACACATTAGAAAGTTCTGTTTTGGTTTATTAACATTTATAATTTAAAAAAACAACAACACCTCAAGGACACAAGGTCTCAAGGACTGGCTCCAGGATATAATTTAAAATATAGCATCCGTTTTTGTAAGAACAAAATATACATTGATAGATACGTTTAAATAATTGGTGGTAAAGAATTTGAATATTTAGGTCAAGGGGGTAAACAATTGTTTCTTTTTCTCTACATTTAAAATAAAAAATAGTCGACCGTGGACACTTGAAAATTCCACAAGCAAAATTAGGTGTACTACTTTTTAATTAATATTTTTTAAAAGGCCTGATACTTTTCTTAAGGGGGGGGGGGTAAGTCGGTTCCACGGACAGCAACTCGCCTCTCTCCGCGCACCTGGAAATCCCACGGAAACATCAGATGTGTAAGATAAGGCTTGGGATCAGACGCTTCTCAGGCATTGCCGAAATTTTCAAATCTCAGTGTTATCCAACTCTGGGTTTAATTTCAGAGTTTTTCGAACGTGTTCTTCCAAAGTATTAAACTTAGTAATGAAAAAAACGTATGATTCATCAAACGAGTGAAAGGCAGTAAGGGGAGGGTGAGACTCAGTGTTCAAACATTTGGCATAAGAAGTTTAAAAATGCAAATATTTAGAAAGTGTTCATGAGTATTCAAAAACTTTTAAAAATTAAACAAAATAATATAATTGAAATAAATATTTATTTTAATTTTTGGTTTCATTAATCAATTCTCATTTTACACCGGTTTTATTAATTTTATTATTATTATTGAAGTGTGCATCCGATAAATTAAAATAAGATACAATTTGTATTATTGAGCCTAATAAATTAAAATGTCTGTTTATTAAATTGAGGTAAATCACTATCAGCATATGTACAAAACTTATAATCAAATGTAACAGTTTCCATACTAGAACAATATAACATTGGAAATTCTGCAGTATTTCAGTGTAATGTGGGCCATTAAATATCGTCCAACAAGACCATTCAGTGTGACTAATCGTTCAGGATGATTAATCAAGAAGCCAATGTGCTAGTAAAAATTAATATTTGAACTTGCGTTTCCCTGGAATACGAAGATTTTGTGATTTCCGATGCTCAGTCATGACAGTATTTCAAATAAAATAGATATATTCAATTAAATAAAAATAATATTTTTTTCCCCGACGTTATTTGGTGTATATCTTTTAGGCATATCCAAAGTGAATCTAATAAACATTCTTTCAGGACAAGACAGTTAGACTTTAATCATTGAATTACAACACGGTAGCATGTCTCGTATGTCGTCTAGGTGTTGCCCTGTAAAAACTCAATTTATGAACTTCGGGATTAATTGGCTCTCCGTGGCCCAACGCGAAACATTTAGTCAGAAGGAGAGAAAAATTTCAGGGCGCTGGGGAACAGTTGTCTCATTACGTGCAAACATTGGCATAGATAGGGGGTTGGGGCGTGCGGACCGCACCGAGTGACACCGTCTCAGGGACGTGACACAAAATTTTAAAAATGGCATATTTGCAGAGCACACACTGCTTGGTTTGACTCAATTTCATAAACGGATAACCGATCACACGTAAACTTACCACACATCTAAACAATCCAAAACGCGTGCTTTATTAAAAGTTCAAGATTGTTGTGTCAGAAATGAGCTGAACTTATAATGTGTTTTTTCCCAATGATTCAACGCCGATTGAAGTCTTAAGTAGCTTTACTTAGTGAAAGGAAGCTATATTGATCTAAAGTATGAGAAATAAAGCGTTCTATTGATACCAAAATACTACAATGCGGTCCGTCGATCCATCGTAGGGGTCAGAACAGGTGGGAGGAGGGCGTGACACCATGAGTTTACCGCACCGATTGACACCAATATCTCGCTATGCCTATGGGTGTAAAATTACAGATTAGGTCAACAGTAGTAGATCTGAGTTAGACGATGCTCTAGCCACATTTATCTCACCCAAACTCTTGTGTTGGTAACAATGTTTGCGCCAAAACCAAATTATCTCACATACGATTTCTTTTAATGTCCTACTATTTGTTTGTGCTGCTTTCAGGCAGAAAATACGTAAACAGAAATGTTCAGGCTTTTAGCTCTTAAGATAGGTAACTAGTTAGATAAGAACTTTTAATGTTTGAAAAAAATAAAAAACAAATGAGGGGCAAAAAACAATGAAATGACTTATTTATCACCAGGTTTAATCAATCAACTAGATGTACCGGTAGTTTACAAAAATGGCTGAAAATGAACTTTAAATCATACTTAAGACTGAGTAATAACGCACTCATTGTCTCGGAGTTTCTGTTTCTATAAACCTACAAGTCATTTTAAAAGCACTTAGCCACATCCTGTCGAGGTAAAGCTTGATGGGCCTCCGAGGACCCACCACTGGAGTGGACTCATCATAACTTTATTAACACTGTGATACTTAATGAATATTACTTCCTTTTGGGTTTCCCATGGTCTTGTATATTATAGGAAATTGACATAGCTAGGAAACCTAAATGAAGCAATTAATGTTAAAAATAATGGTATGCATTCAAAAATTATTTTTTTATAGTCTTTTTTCAAAATATTAAACGTAGCAGCAGTTCATTAGATTTGCTTTAAGTATATTTTAAAGACATCAACCAAAAGATAACTCTTAATTTAAAAAAAAATAAATATTACACTCATTTTTAAAAAAAGAAAAAAAAATTACATTTGCACCTTTTACTGGACTTTAGGACATGTTTACATCAACATTTAGGAATATGAAATTTGTTTGGTATACTTTGCTATAAAATATAAATTTACAGATCAACCAAATACCATCCTATGACGTAAACAAATATTCAGAAAATCACCCCCCCCCCTTCCAACCTCATTGTTATTTGAATATATCTGCTAAAAGTTATCTAAAACGAATATGAAAAAAATCGCTTTATCAATCAAACCTCAAAACTTCAACTTCGCATAATTAATTTTAAAACCCTGATATTCTTACAAGGTGTTATTTCATTTTATTTTTCATTTTCTGCTTAAAACGATTTTTTAAAAGAAAATTCTCGTCGTATCGAGTAATTGTCCCCATGACAAACGCTACTGAAAATATATTTATACTTGATATGACACGAACTCGCTGAGTATGAATAAATTGAACTAAAAATAGTTCGGCGGAAGTGAAAAGATTCATTGTGTGTAGTAGTGTGAGCTGTCATGCTTATAGTTTCCTATGAATAACCAGCTGTCCACAATATGAAATATATTTTATGCTGCATAGATTGCATACATTGTGCATAACCTTCATCACATATAATAAGACAATTTCTTATTTAAATTAAGTTGTTGAAATTTCTGGATGACCACAACCTTCTGTTCATAACCTTTTGTCTGGAGCAGGCGTAATAAAATGTTAAGGAAGAAATTAAACACAGGATTATGTTTTGTCAAGTTTTCTTGTATTTTTAAGGAAGATGTTTATAGTGGAATTTGATTTCTGATGTAGCTGTGCATAGTGTTGTTTGATTTCTTCATTACAAACGTGTGGTATTTTACACATAGGTAAGTTAATGTGTAAAAAAATATTTTAAATTTCTATTAAATAATTAGAGGGAAAGAGAGAGAGAGCGAGAGAGTAAGAAAGAGAGAGAGAGAGAGAAAGATAGAGAAGAGAAGAGAGAGAGAGAGAGAGAGAGAGAGAGAGAGAGAGAGAGCGAGAGAAAGAGTTATAGAGCTTTCATCGTCTATGGCCTTCCTTCTTTTAACAAATGAGAGATTCTCTTCAAGATTTAGAATGATTTTTTTTCAATTATTTATTTTCTCGTTATTTAAATATATTTTCAGTAACATTTTTCTGCTTATTGGAAATTGTAGAAACATAATTTTGTGAGAACAACTAAACTGTATTCTTCATTCTAACATTATGAAAGAAATATTTAAGGATTTTCATGTTAGTGTGCCTTAACGTCATTAAAAGGCTTGTGTATTACATTTATTATTTACATTTAATATGTTTATGGCTATGTCATGAATTACTTCTAATATTTTACATGTAATATGTTTATGGCTATGGCCTAAAATATAATTTATAATATTATGCTACATGCAATGTTTTAAAAAAATTTTTTGAAGGAGCTGTTCCGACAGAGAATCAATTAAATGAGCGAATAAGGCATGCAAATCAAAACAGTCAAGATTAACCACTGGATAACGCGTTCACTGGTTTTGATGACGCTGCTAACTGATATGACAAACGGTGTGTATTGTTAGAGAACTCTATCTAAGCTGCATTCACAAAACTGAATTCTATCTTGTATGCTCCCATCGCCAGAATTAATTTTGATGAAATATTCTAGTTATAGACATCAGTGACATGCCATTATAAAAATGTTTTCAAATTTTTTTAACTGAAACACATACAGAAAAGTGTCAATGTTGAAAACGTATGTGAAAATGATTGTGTTTGAATACTGAAAAAAAAAAATCAAATCATTGAAATCTCTTTGGTCAAAGAAGTTAGTGCATGGAATACACGATAAATTTGCCTTATACACTCATGTTTCTTTATTTTGCATTGCATTAACAACGGTGATTGTCAACAGTCCATCGGGATTACCTGATTGATGTTAACAAAACACATCGGTTCGTTTCTGAAAATTTTTGTGACATAAGTTTAGAAAACATTTGGAGTTAGTTTTGGCTTTTCAGGCGTGTAACTGTGAACATATGAGTTAGCTGATCGCCTTTGTCCAGTCTTGGTAAATGCATGTATAAAAGTTATTTAAATTTCACCTGGAGTGTTACAGGGTGTCACAATCGTTTACCGGTGTTTGTGTACACCAACGTTCAGAGACGGGCGCCTAGTGTACGAAAATAAATTCCGATAATCAAATTTCTTTAAATCAACGCTTAACTTGCTTTATATCTTAACAACAAATGTGAAATACTTTTATATGAATAAATTAACATTATATTTACGCATCTTTATGAAAACATAAAATGCACTCGAATATAATCATAAATTATAACTGATTAGTACATTGTTATATTTTTACATCTAAACATTTAAAAATAAAACATTGGAACCGCTTCAGTTTCAGGAGAACTGTGTAAACCATTCAGCAATCCCGTTTTTTCCAGCATCATAAAAAATAATGTAAATTATTCAGTGCGCCTGGACAAAGTCCCAAACAAATCCTATGACAATGTAGTTGTTCAATACCAAGGGAATCCGCTGTCTAATGGTAATTGTACGTACAAATACTGTGTTATCTGGACCATTGAGGACGCCAAAGATGCACTGGTTTACCTGAACTTGAACATTTCCAATTTTAAGAAACCAGACTCAGTCCAGCTTGATATCAATGTTCATTTGAACTGCAGTGCAGGAAATAACATTATAAACGTCTGCATAGATATGAGGGACGAGGTCAAGGCCCGTAAGTACATAACATTTAAGCAAAGAACAAGCTGTCAATTTTTTTAAATTATACGACAGTCTAAATATATATATATAATATATATACATATTGAGTTAAAGAAGACACACAGTGGAAAGGACATAATGTTTGACTGATGATTGGATTTTCAAAATTTCACTAGAAACTTTTTTTTTTTTTTTAAATTTTTTTACATCATGGGTGTCCAACCCATGACCCGTTAAATATTGTAGCCCGCCAGCTGTAACAAAAATAAACTATTTTTTTATGATATATTAAATAAGCGATGATTATCTTTTTTTTTTAAAAACTCTCATTTTAAAAAAATATATATATATAATACTTTTTTGTGATTGCTCAACTTCGATGTACTGATTTTAAAGTTTTATTTGAAAAGCTCAAATAAAAAATAAGCTGTTTGAAACAAAATTACTATTTAGTCACCATTTAAATTAAATGATTTATAGGAACACAACCAAGCAATGTAAACCTAAATTACGTCCAGCATGTCGCCTCTGGTAAAGTGTAGAATGCTGCAAAACTAAGCTACCTCGAACATTTCATCTCTGGTTAAGTGTAGAAAGGTGGAAAACTAAATTATGTATATGCTGAAATGCATGTTTAAATTATAAAAACATCCCTTTTAAGGCAACACCCTTCCCAGACCCCTCCCCACTGGGTTCGCTCAAAAGAATTCAGTGGGATACCTCATTTATCACATTCGTTTATCCAATCTTCATTTATAAACACTATGCCCTATATATATGTTCATAAAATTGCAGTCTATTCAAATATATGTATTATATTTCTTATTGTCTGTGAGGCGCAAGAAGATGTGTTATCATCTAATAAGTAAATACATTAAGAATAATTAAATTATAGTGTACATAATTTTTTTTTCTTACTTAGTTTAATGACATGCGGCTAGGGGCTCCATTTCAGGGGTTTTTCGGGGGGGGGGAGCAAATCCAAAACTTGGGGGGTTTGTTAAGTTGTTTAAAATGGAGGCACCACGGTATGCTATTTAAATAAAACCAGGAAATTCAAAACAAAAAAAAGGGTGGGGGGTGGGGATGGCAAATGAACTACCTTTCCCAACCCAAATGGCAACCCTTTATGGCGCCCTCGACGAGTTGATTCACAAACAACGTGACAGTGCAGCCATTGGGATTGGCCACCTCTGCTCTCAAGTCATTAAATTAAACATGTAAAAGTACAAATACAATTTTATGATTATTTTTATAGGTGGTTAAATTTATTGCTAATTCCTTTTCTATTATTAGAAAGGTTTATATGAATTACACTATACAATATCCTTAGTGATGCTAAGGGTTAACAGTGTGTGTGATTTTTTTTCAGCGTGGACTGGGAAGACATTAAAACAAATTCACATAGGTACTTCGATCATTTGCCTCCTTATCACCATTCTAACTATCGTGGTAATAGGCTTGCACATTTACAATGCCAGAGGTGAGAAAAGATAGCACATCTAATTCTTAATATTGTAGCAAAAATAAAAATTAAATATATCGAAGGCTTTAAGTCTTTTAAAAAGAATTTATACTTAAATATCGTTTCATTTTGTCAGAATATTTAAAGCATTCATTGTGTGTTAGTTTATTGATTACTTTTTTAAAATAATTCCTGCGGTTATTGTCCTGTTCACTTGTATGAAGACTGCGTCATGGTGATGGTACATTTGGCTATTTGCATATTTACGTCACGGGATGGTACATTTGGCTATTTGCACAATTGCGTCACTGCGATGGTTTATTATGCTATTTGCACATTAACGTCATGGGGGTGGTACATTTGGCTATTTGCACATTTAAGTCACGGGGTGGTACATCTGGCTATTTGCACATTTACGTAATGGGGATGGTACGTTTTGCTATTTTCACAATTGCGTCACGGCGATGGTTTATTATGCTATTTGCACATTTACGTCACGAGGGTGGTACATCTGGCTATTTGCACATTTAAGTTATGGGGATGGTACATTTTGCTATTTGCACAATTGCGTCACAGGGATGGTACATTTTTCAATTTGCACATTTACGTCACGGGGATGGTACATTTCGCTATTTGCACATTTACGTAATGGTGATGGTGCATTTGGCTATTTGCCCAATTACGTCACGGGGAAGGTACATTTGGCTATTTGCACAATTGCGTCATGGGGATGGTATATTTGGCTATTTGGACATTTACGTCCCGGGGAAGGTATATTTGGCAATTTGCAAAATTACGTATGATTACAGCAGAAGATGTCTATTAATCATTACAGCTCAGGCGAAACGTGCTTTGGTTTTGAAGAATAATGTAACAGTTCCCTGTAAATTCTTTAAATTTGATATAAAATGTGATATGATCATAGTTTTCATTTGTTATTCTCTTATTTTTTAAAACATAATTACTTGTGTGTGTGTTATGTTTGTAGTTTTGCATACTTTATCAGTACATGTGTTGTCTGTTCTTAGCTTCGTTCATTCAATATATTTTAACATTATTATATTGTTATATTTTAACATTTTCCTTAGGAGAACCAGAACAAAATTTTGAATCAGAATGTTCAGAAGATGAAGTGCTCTGCCCTCAAATTTTTGAAATCGGGTAGGAAAATATAGTTTTAATTATGTTCATAAAGACAAACCACAGTATCTAACAACATTAATTTAATGGGGGGGGGGGAAGGGGGGGGAACGTAAAACATTATTTGAGTCGGCACTTTAAAATGATCTGAATTTTGTGTTTGTGTCGCGATGAGAAATACAGCATGTAAGTTGGTACACGCCCCTTTGGTACATACAACATTGAAATAAAGGTCTGGGACATCTGGGACATCCAACATAAAACTAAGTGTCTGTCAGGTGTGAGACACCCATCTGGGACATCCAACATCAAACTAAGGGTCTGTCAGGTGTGAAACACACATCTGGGACATCCAACATAAAACTAAGGGTCTGTCAGGTGTGAGACACCCATCTGGGACATGCAACATCAAACTAAGGGTATGTCAGGTGTGAGACACCCATCTGGGACATGCAACATCAAACTAAGTGTCTGTCAGGTGTGAGACACCCATCTGGGACATCCAACATCAAACTAAGGGTCTGTCAGGTGTGAGACACCCATCTGGGACATGCAACATCAAACTAAGGGTATGTCAGGTGTGAGACCCCCATCTGGGACATGCACCATAAAACTAAGGGTCTGTCAGGTGTGAGACACCCATCTGCCACATACAAGATGTAAATAAGGGTATGTCAGGTGTGAGACACCCATCTGCGACATACAAGATATAAATAAGGGTCTGTCAGGTGTGAGACACCCATCTGCCACATACAAGATGTAAATAAGGGTCTGACAGGTGTGAGACACCCATCTGCCACATACAAGATGTAAATAAGGGTCTGTCAGGTTTGAGACATCCATCTGTCACATACAAGATGTAAATAAGGGTCTGTCAGGTGTGAGACACCCATCTGCCACATACAAGATGTAAATAAGGGTCTGTCAGGTTTGAGACACCCATCTGCGACATACAAGATGTAAATAAGGGTCTGTCAGGTGTGAGACACCCATCTTCCACCAACTGAGTGCACTAGTGTAAATTCGTGAAACCTTCAACAAAAGCATTTGTGATGACATTATAGGGTTTAAAGGTTGCCGAGCGTAGTGGCTAGAAGGTTTCCCTCTTGGAGATTTTTTGTCGAGTTCACCATCAAATGGATCTCACAAAATAATTACATTTAAAATCCAGGATTTCAGTGATATTTCAACTGAACTAAAGAAAAAAAATTAACAAAACAACTTAACTTTGATTAATTAACTTGTAACGGAAATCTGTGGCGTAGCAAATGGGGTGCGGGGTGGGGGGTACGGACCCCATGGGGTGACTTCATCTCTGGGGGTAAAATCAAGCTGAAAAGTACATATTTTACAGAGCACACACTTCTGTGTCCTACCGAATTTCATAAAATAAAAGGATTCAACGCCAAATGAGTTGCTGGGTAACTATCGTTAGTGACAGGAATCTATTTTTATCTCAATTCTGAGAAGTAAAACTTTCCATTGATACCAAATATGATTTGGTCGGGCGATTCTAACTTCATGAATCGAATCGGTAAAATTTAAAAGCACCATGAGTTTACCGCACCGGTTGACATGAATCCTAGCTACGCCACTGACGGGATCATCATATTTCTGAGTTTTAAAATGCACTATTTTTTCTCTTATATAATGCTGAATATATAAATACTCCCCACTACCGACACCACACGAAAAAACTCTTTAAAAATAAAACTTAAAAATTGCACATATTCTCATGTATTCAGCTATATCAGACAATATTCATATTTATTTAGGGTTATCTGACAGTATTCATATGTATTTAGGTTTATCCGGCAACATTCAGATGGTCCAAAAGATGATATAACAGAAGAAGAAACAGAAGCAGAGATTAAGTCAGAATTGAAAATTGAACCATTGTATGAATTTATAATTTATTTTCCCATCCAATTTCCTTTTGCTTTGCTTCTAGAAAGGGAAATAGCCAAACATTAATTATTTTAAGATTTTTATTTTTTTTACATCTTGATTAAATATAAAACAGTTTTAATCAAAGATTATTATAGACTTTCAGTGAAGTATTTTTTTTTACCACCGCACTTGGAATGTTGAGCTTAAATTCCACTCTTGCATTGAACGCTTTGCTTAAGTTTAGATTGATGTCTCGACATGCGCCTAATTTTACTGTGGTTTTTTTTTTTAAACGCCTAATTGTGTGCCCTAGTTTCTTGTGCGTTCAAACAACAAAAAGGCAAATTTACATCACATTCAAAAATCATGGCAAAGTTTTAAGTCTTACACGATCTAAATTTTAACTGGAAATATTTTTAAAATGAAATGTACCAATCTACTAAATTATTAGCGAATAATGAAAGAAAACAACTAAACAAATTAAGCTGTATAAAATATTTTAAATCTTAAGGTGACAGAAACATTTTTTTTTAATTAATTAAAATTATTTAAAGTTAACATAGATATTCAAAGGTGACTCTACAATGCAAGTTTTCGATTTCAATATCATTTAGAAAAACTATAAGTATGGATTACATTTGTTAAAACTTTAATACTAATAAAATTAAATGCAAATAATGCTTCTTTTTTTTAAATTATTATTTTCAAATTATCTAAATTGATATTTATTGCATTAGCGGTACACTTTAAAAAAAAGTTTTAAACATTTTAAACTAATTCCAGCTTATGTTTGCTATATCTTGTGATGATTTTACAAAGCAAATCACTCGATTCAATTTTGCATTAATAGGTATCACATTTTAAACTTTCTTTTTTAAATATTTCTATTTCTGTTAAATTTGGGTTCAAAATAAATCTTAGTTATAAAGATATTACAAAATTTGATTGATGTAGCTTTATTATTTTTTCATTCTTATTTATTAATGACATAATTTTTAAAAAAAATAAAGTTGAAACTAATAATTCGTATGTTCAACCATTACTAATACGAGTTCTTTATCATATACTTAAAATATATAAAGCAGGTAGTTATCATTTTTAAACAACTCAATTAAGAATAACCCCACTCATTTTACATCTCAACTCAAAAAATAATACATTTTTGAGCAAGATATTGGAAGGTCATTGGAAGCAAAACTGATAGAAATACCAAAAAATGTTAATAGCGACCTTCATCAATCCACTACGAATTTGTTCTTGCTTTTTAAGTGTATATGTTTTACTATTATTTACGTTGTTATTATAATATGTTATTTTACCTTATTTGAAGACAATAATTTCTAAAAACGTTTGGGTTTGTCGTATTTCATTTTCCCCCAACTACTTTGAACCTGCTTATGTTAGCTGAAGAAGTTATTCGGCAGTTTCTTCCTTTGCACTGTTTTGTCTGAGGTAGAAGGCTAGGCTTGTTCAAAAGCATTCAGCAAAGTTTCCTATTACTAACAAATCAGACAAAGTCAGATGCTTTCTTATGAACGAATTAGGTAAATACTCTAATTTTAAAACTTGACTTAAGTTACTGAAATGATATTCCTATGAAAGGCATCTCATCCAATTTGCCTTCGGTAAGAAATGAGTGATCCAGAAATGTCAAAAGTAGAATTAATATTTTGTCTCTGCTCTTGGTCTACAAAAATTTCCAAGTAGCATTTTTGAAATGTATGACTGCCAGAGTCTCAGTTCATAGACTGTGCCAGAGTCTCAGTTCATAGGAGTGCCAGAGCCTCAGTTCATAGACTGTGCCAGAGTCTCAGTTCATAGACTGTGCCAGAGTCTCAGTTCATAGAAGTGCCAGAGTCTCAGTTCATAGACTGTGCCAGAGTCTCAGTTCATAGACAGTGTACCAAATGATTAACTTCACGAGCATTTTATTTCCATAATAGCTTTATCAAAATGTTTGCAATTATTTTTTCTCATTGTCCCACCTACTTATTTTCTTCCAATCCAGAAAAATACAAAAGGATTTTAGAACGTGTTTTCTACAAGAGATACATGGTAAAGTATTTTAAAAGCCCTCTTTAATTTCAGATAATTACTAATTTACGGTTATTAAAAATGTTCTTTTGAAATTTCACATAAAAATACGTGTGCAAATATATATAAGGTTAAAATAAATTAACATACATTTTCAAATAAAGCAAGCTACCTAAATTCTTACAAGTATTTACACTTTTATAACACGCTATGCTATATCTAGATAAAGATGCATAGATTTCAAATACATACTATAAAAATTACTCTTTTATAAAAACATGTGTGTGTTTGTTTATAATAAAATATATGTGATTTAACTTTTGCTTTTTGAATATTGAAATAATAATAGAAAATTTTCCAAAAACTGTTTGACCTCTTACAAAATAAAAGTTTTATTTTGTTAGAGAACAAACATTTTATTTAAAAAAAATAACTAAAAACAATTTTAAAATAATGAAGGTCTTGGAAAGAAATGATTTCCTTTCTAAATTAATATATTTCTAAATCCTTGCCAATCAATTGTGCGCTCGATCTTCAGAAAACATTGCGAAGTTCAGAGAAAAGACCAAAATGCGTCAGCAACAGCCCGTAGCAGCTCGTCGATCTCTTATTGTCTCGAGTTCGGACGTCGACCAGGCAGCAGACAGTCTCAGCTTTCAGCCCGCGTCCATCCAGGAGCTCCTGACGCTGCACGAGAATTTCCCGACAGGGAAAGGCGAAAGGTTTCAAAGACAGCGGAGCGAATCGTCACAGATTCTGGGGAGCTCTTTCTTGCGAGAAGAGGACAACGAATGGGTCGTAGTGGAGTACGAACTGCCAGTCTACAGCAACTGTGTGCACACAGTCACTATGGAAACAAGACAGCTGAGCATCAACGACTGCTGTAGGAGCATCCAGAAATCAGAAGTGGGCGATGAGTTTCCCCCAGCGGCATGTTCTTTGCGAGAGTCCAGCTCAAGCTCTAACGATCCTACAGGTTACGTTAAGATGACACGATCACCACAGCTGGATGATAGTGGCTACACAAAGCCGTTTAGATTGGAAGACATTGAAAGAACAGAAATACTTAATAACTGATCTTTAAAAATGACATTGTTGAACGTTTTAATTAAAATACTACTTCTGTTAAAATATCGCATTAAATGAAACAATTAAGAAAACTTTATATTTGAATATAGCAATAAAGTTTAAAATTAATAATTATTTCATAATGCATAAATTGAGTAAACATGAGTAGCACTATTGCTGAGTGCTCTGTATCAAGTCTTGTGACCAACTATTTATGATGTATTTGATAAAAGGTGATTTAAAATATATCATAATAATAGTTTAGCATGCATTTACTGTTATTTTAAACAATATTGTTTACTTTGAATATGTAATTAATTTAAACATATAAATATTTTTAGAAATTTCAAAAAAAATATCTAGGTTATTTTCAATTACATGGAAGCTTCTCCGTTTCTTATAGTGGCGCTCTAATAATTTACATTGTTTTATTTTTTCGTTTTGTTTACTTGGTGTGCAATTGCCTTTAAGAATAAACTAAGATAAAAACTATTATCAGTTTCGCGTGCTAGGTCTGCAATATTTTATGTAATTTGTTCAATCTATTCTAATTATTCAAGAATAACAAATTTGTCCTTTTAGAATTTCTTTTGTTAAAATATAAAAATATTTCCCCAAACCTATGACTCTAAAAAATTCCAGTTGAACAAAAGATTTTAAACAAATTCTTACTATACAGTTTTTTAGTCATGAAAGTATTTAAAAATCACATTTCTGTATAAAATCTCTCTAATATTCCTGTTAATTCCCCCCCCCCCCTCCAAAGGATACACAAAGTGTAATTGATCTTAATATTCATTTAGAAAATGTTCAAACGAACGCACTTTTTAAAAACAACAAATGCACATGCTTCAATATTGACGATCCATTGAATGGTATTATCCTCTAGTTATGCCCTGAACTAAAACCAAGGTTGATTTATCGCATAAAGCAAACGCTTGATTACGATTATGATTTCAGCCCTAGTGATACGAAAGAAAATACGATTGACAGGGCCGTCCACGTCCATATGCTTGTTCCTCACCACAGTCATGGTCTGCATTTACAATTATTCCACGAATATGATATTTGTCACTCAATACATTTGAATTCAAATGTATAAAGCCTTGAAAAAGTATATGTATTTATTGAGAACTGTTTCATAGGGATGGAATTCCGACCGCCGTTGCATTAGAATATCGTCCTATTTCAAGACACAAATCATGAATTTAAAAATCAGTTGCTTGCACGTATTTCAAACATTCGGAAATATCAATGATATTATAATGTACGAATTTATTTTGAAAATAGACAACCCTGAAGCTGAAATATTCCACAGAGCTGAAGTAAAATCAGATGCATCAAATTTAGTTATTTACATACCCGTAAAGATAACAAGGACATTACTGTGAGGACTGAAGAAAACACTTTGACATTGTATTACATTTAAATAAATATAATATTTTAATATTGGTTTCTTAACTAGTGCTTATGATTAGCATATAACAAAATTACCTGTCACACGTCAAATATTTAGATATTAATTTTGTTTCAAGATCATGTATTATTTTGATAAGTAGAGGGGACAGGAAGTAAATGATGTAATGGGATACGTAGAGAAACAGCCGGATGGACAGCCGTTGAGAGTGTTTATTTATTAGAACTTGCTATGATTACTTTTATATCAAACAGCATCCTTAATGTTGATTCGACAAATGTGAAGTGGAAAAAGTTATAGGACGAATTATATTTGCTCTGGTTTACAGAGATATTGTTTAATCCCGTGTACGTTAATCAGTTAATAAAATGTTGTGATGCAAATTCATGGAACTCTGATCCTCGTGGTTTTAGGTAATCATGGACGTCTGTGAATGTGAATAAATACCACAAGCAATACCATTTAATAACATTGTTTTTGTATAAATTGGCTTTGCACTATGCTTAAATTATAATTACAACTTTACTAGAAGTCTATTATAGTTTCGATTCTTTCTCAAAAACTTCTGATTAAATGATAGTAGTGACAGTTTCAATGGTAGCTTTTTAAAATGATTTTAATTTTAAAACCTAATTATTTTTATATTTAAATAATACAGCAACATTTGTCTACGGCATTTGTGTAATAACTTAAAACGATGTATCACCTAAAATGTCTAGTTTTACAATGGCGTCTCTCTTCAAATACAGTAGTTATTCAGTGATGGAATTTTAGTTTGTGTTATGTTCCTAACTTCTTTATTAGTAGGACCATGCGGTTTTAAGATCAGACGATGAATTCCCACACCAAAAGGTAATATAATTATTAAGTACGCTTTCAATTGTTGCATTGTAGAATAAGTCAACCACTTGTTTGTTTGTTTACTCCGAAACTGTACAGTCTTTTTTGAGATAGAAAAGTCTTTGGTTGAATTTCTTATACAGCATTTGGCCGTGCTCATGTCATGTTCGCTTATTATTAATAGTGACACCTTAGTACTTATATGCCTCTATTTTCTTTACGCTTTAATTATTTTTTTTTATGTTGATATCTGTAATCTGGTGTCTTCCCCTCCTGAAATCAACAACCATTTGCTTTGTTTTTGAGACATTCAGCCTAATGACTTTGGCAAGTTGTGTGGTTTGGTCTTGGCATTCGGTGATGGCTACTGGAGAGTGGTGTACGTGTGTAAGACACACTTTTAAAACCCTGCTCGTGGCGCCAAAAACTGTAGCCAGGTGGTGATTGGTGGTGGTGGATCAATGCTGACAGTTTTATTAATAAACAATGAAGAAATTTAGGTCTCGAGGACTATAACTTTATTTGAACACTAAAGAAACACTACAGAAAAAGTTTACTATGAAGAAAAAGTCTATGTAGAAAAAAAGGACAATGTCTGAACAAAAAAAACAAATAGTAGGCCTACAGGTTAACATGGTCCTGACTAACTTTGCTAATAATAAACATGTTATATAACTCCGTATTTAAAGTTCGTGACAAATTACACTTAACTAAGTACAGAGTAGCACATGACACATGTTATGCTCATAAGCAATTAAAATTATATCATTGTAATGTTTAATTATTAGAGAAATCACGTGACAGTGTTTAATTTGTAGCACGTACACATTCTAACATTCAGTATGACAACTGTTAGTTTGATACTTGTTCCTATCCATCGCTGTGTATTTTTAAGACAAACATCAAAATTCAGAATAAATAATTATATGTAATATTATCCTAACACCTACACCATTTCCTATGTGAGAATTAAGCCCACGGCAGGAGAGTTAGACTATTACTGTTACACATATTTGACGTACATTCGCTGGTTGTATACTGGTGTAACAATAGCTTATAAGCACATTGTAATATGTGTAACCAGAACGATATACGGTTGCTTTCTCTGGCTCATAAACACTGGTCACTTGTACCGGTATCTAATTATTTTTCTATTTAAGAATGTAGTGGACGGTTGTTTGTTCAACCTATAAAATAGCATGGTTTTAAGTCATTTGGACGGTTTTATATTCAACTCGCAAAATAGAATGGTTATAAGTCTAGACGCTGTATGTTATTCCTACAATATATCATGGTGGTTATAAATCTAAACAGAAAACTCCTATTATTACAACTTGACAGTTGCATACTAAAAACAAAGAAATATAATGGCGTATTTGCTTCTTCTTACAAAACGTTCAAATGGGCCGCACTGAACTCTGACACTGGCACACTTTAAGGATGCTTTTGAAACTTTGAATCAAAAACACGCTAGCCCAATCTTTAAGACAAAGCGGTGCTGACATACCAGAGAGAACTACGTCAAGCGACCATTGAGACAATCTCTTACTCGCTGTCTGGCCCATAGCCTGTGTTAAATTAACCAATGACTAGCGACTCCAACCCAAATAAAATTAAATATACGGACCAAACCCCCTAAAGACTTAATTGTGTCCTTTTCAGCTTAGTCTCGTCTATCTAAGATACTATCTTACATTTCTATGAATTAAATGTTTTTTTTTAAAAGATATTTTAAATAGAGGTGTTGGACCCCCTAATGGATGAATGTGAAAACGACATTTATTGCTTAATATTACAATGCCCACTGAAGATGTAGACTTGAAAACATAATAAGTTATAGGAAATAAAATCTGGACAATAATTTATATACCATCTGAACTACAACAGTTCCTCTCATATATTCGCCACAAGTTTCGTGCATTAAAATCTGAGAACAATACGTTCAGTCATGCAGAACTCTGCAAAGTAATAGTTAGAGACAACATCGAGTGTGCTTTTCCAATTGTAGAAATCGCCTTGCGCATATTTTTAACATTAATGGTTACCAACTGTTTAACTGAGCACTCTTTTTCTCAGTTGAAACGTACACAAAATCCAAGTAGATCGACAATGAAACAAGAAAGGCTTGATTCCTTATCTGTCCTGATGATTGAGGCAGACCGCGCAAAATTAACGTTGATGATGTACCGTACTCAAAAACTTTGCCAGACGTAAATCTAGAAAAAAGAACTTTAAAATGTAAATGTGTGCTCTCTCTGACAAAATGTAAATGTGTGCTCTCTCTGACTTTCTTATCTATCAAAAAAGTTACAGTATTTTTGTCTACTATTATTACAAAATTAATTAACTATTAATTTTAATAGAGAAATACCTTATTGTAGGTTTTATATGAGTGATAGTAGTACAAACATATGTGTTTACATTTCACAACTGTTTTTCTTTGTTAGTTTTTTTGCATAATATTGAACATACCAGATGTCAGTGGAGGATTGGGGGCCCGGGGCTGTAGGGGGCACCCATGTGGGTTTGTGCCTAGGGCACCAAGATGGCTTAATCCGGCCCTGACCGAGGGTCTAACTTACTTCCTCACTCAAGCCAAAGCTGCTCAGCTGTGTAAGAAGAAACGATGCCAGGTCTCTGGCAACAAGGAGTAAGAGGAATTAAATGAAGCTTAGATCTTTGAGAACCGTTCATGTTTTTATTTGTTATTAATAAAGGTTAAGCACATTGACACAATTGAACTTTAATGAATTAGTAATCGCTTTCATTTGTGGAATATTTGGGTACGGCCAAGTTTAACTCAGACTCTTCCTCCTGCGGTCCCCCGGGTGATTTGAGTTTGAGACCCCTGCTCTAGACACCGTGCCTCAGATTTAGGATATATTAGGTGGCTGCGAATTTCAAGATGGACGTATAGAAGATATGATAATTGAAATAATTATAACGTCATACCCAAGTTAAAAAAATGACTAGATGTTTAAGTTTGAAACTAATCTGCAAACGCTAGCGGTACGATCTCAAAGTGAGACACTATCAAACGCTAGCGGTACGATCTCAAAGTGAGACACTATCAAACGCTAGCGGTACGATC